ATGGTAGTAGTGGTAGTAGTGGTAGTAGTGGTAGTACTGGTAGTACTGGTAGTAGTGGTAGTAGTGGTAGTAGTGGTAGTAGTGGTAGTAATGGTAGTAGTGGTAGTAGTGGTAGTAGTGGTAGTAGTGGTAGTAGTGGTAGTAAGTGTTTCGTAAGTGGTGTATGGTTCATACTGGTTACTTTAGTTGTAGTAGTTTGTAGTATTTGGTAATTGTAGTCGTTTTAGTAATTTGTCGTCGTCGTTTCGTCGTCGTGGTCTCCGTCGATGGTACGTCGTCTTGGTCGTCGTCGTGGTCGTCGTCGTGTGTCCAGTAGCAGTAGCAGTAGCAGCAGTAGCAGTAGCAGCAGCAGCAGCAGTAGTAGTAGTAGTAGTAGTGGTAGTAGTAGTAGTGGTGGTAGTAGTAGTAGTAGTAGTCTTAGTAGTAGCAGTAGTAGTAGTAGCAGTAGTAGTAGTAGCAGTAGAAGAAGTAGTAGAAGTTGTTGTTGTTGTAGTTATAGTTGTAGTTGTGTAATTGGTGTAGTGCAATGTAGCGTAGTATATTTGCATTTGTAGTTGCAGCTGTAGTTTAGTGTAGTGGTAGTTGTAGCTGTTCTATCTATCTATCTATCTATCTGTCTACCTGCAAGCTTGAAAACGAACCTATTCTGTGTGACTTTCTCTTTTTTTTGACCTTGGCAACATCAAAAACGCAGCAATTCTGCGAGACCTCCTCAAGTTTTGAATGTGGCAACGTTAAAAACAAAGCAATTCTGCGAGACTTCCTCATGCTCCTTCAAAAATGGAAAGTTGAGTGCAGAGCTGACGGCCTCGTACCAATACGTGCTGCGCTTTTTCCATTCCATCCCTCTAAAGTACTGCACCTGCCACGAAAAGTGAAACCAGGTCATCCGAAATGCTGCACCAGTCACGCAATCATCTTAGCAAACCTGAAGATCTCACGCTCCAAAATGCAACCCCTCTCAGGAAATCTCCGCCCAGATCTCCTAACACATCTAACTCATGTGTCTCTTGTACTGCGCCTGCCACGCGAAAAGCATTCTGCAAATGTCCCACGCCTGCCACCATTTTTAGAAATGCTACAAAACCCCCACGTTTTGCTCACGTTGGCAAGGTGCAGAATCCCTTGCGCCTGCCACGCAAAACCACATTGGTCCGAGCATGTAGTGCTTTTAACATTTTGACTTGGAAATGTGCTTCGCGCCAACAACGGCGAAGCACTTTTTCGACATCTCAACTTCCAAAAGTGGTCCGAAGCTGGTGTGCTTTGCACATTTTGACGTGGGTTTGTGCTTCGCGCCACAACAGCATGCACTTTTTCGACATCTCAACTTCCAAAAGTGGTCCGACGTGGGTGTGCTTTGTACGTTTTGACTTCGAAATGTGCCTCGCACCACAGCAGCGTTCACTTTTTCGACATCTCAACTTCCAAAACTGGTCCGAACATGAAGGGTGTTTTGTAATTTTTTTGACTTCCAAATGTGCTTCGCGCCACAATTGCGTGCAACTTTTCATCTCTCATCTGGCCAGATGGCTCCGCACCCGCCGCTTTAGCGAGCCTACTTTTCGACCCTCCGGAGCCACAAATCATTGGAAAAACACGGTGTTTCGCGACTTTCCTATCTTTTCGCGCACCTGCATCTTCTTTCTTCTGACTCTTTCTCTTCTCTCACTCTTCCCACCTCTGCTGTTCCATCTGTCCATATTGTCGGAAGTTTGACTTCTAAACTTCCTTCGAGTATAGTATTTCACTGACTGTCACTGACCTGAAATAATGCTAGTTTGGGATATATTCTTACCCATCTTACCCCTTACTAACCATCATTCCAGTGAGGTCGGCAGTGAAGTCGTTATAGTTTATCCAGATAGGTTATCAATACTTACCCACTGACCCTAGGCTAAACCAACACAAATGTGGAACAATGTGGAACATCAACCATTTGTAGACGATTTTCCGGGAAACCATGGCTTTTCCAGAACTGTAATTTACCCGTTACGGGCACCAGATGACTGGATGATCCCCGCCTTGGTAAAGTCCAACTCTGAGGCGCTCTCCACCACCACATCTGCATCACTGAAAAGCTCCTGTGAAAAACACCGAGACGTTGGATTAAAAAACCGATGTTGAAATATGGCAACGGACTCCAAGGATGGTAAAAACATGTATATAAAAACTCTAGAAAGGTGGGAAAAAATCTGGAACGTCAAGAGGCTTCAAACGGATGTAAGCGATGGGAGATGTTCACCTGAAACTGCGGGATTGGAAGGGGTCAAAATTGAAGATCCGTGGGCCGATTTCATCCTTTAGGGGACGTCATCGTGAAGCAGTGGATCAGTGGATTTGAGGATGACGGGAATCCCCATGTCCTTCAATTGAGCCAAAGAAGCCCCAAAAGATGCTGGTCATACAAGAATTGGGATCATCATCGCGTTGAATGCACAAAAAACACAATATCACAATATCACAAAATCAATGAAACCGCCAACAATCCCATATGCGTGCTGTATATCAAAATGTGTACATATACAAATGCAAACGTGCCCTTGGCTACGTTTGTGTGCATATTTTTCGTATGACATAGGCATGTTCACACATGTTTCAAATGATAAACGCATTGTGCTCCCATCGTTTAAATCAACTTGGCACGGCTCAAAGAGAATCAGTCCTTGCTGGTGTAGACACTCTTGGTGACCACCACCTACCACAATGTAGAGGTGTGTGATCACTATCATGGAGCTGGGATAGACATCAGTTGGGTTTGTCTTAAACTGAGTGCTACATCTACAATTCACGGCAATTTTAATGTGAAAATGATGGTAAGTTGGCTGGAGAGTGTGAGAAAACATGCGGACGGAGTTTTTGTGGGATAAGCTTGTGGAAACTCTCAAGATTCGAGGGGTGAAACTGGTTCATACAACTTGATCCAACTTGAGTGTTTTTGCATCTAGTTTGAGAACTAGGCCCTTTCAAGCACGGAAAAACAACTCAGATCGCATCAACTTAGTATATAGCTCTAAGAGACTCTAGTGGAGTTTGATCGGGCTTGTCTGAAAATAGGATACCCATGGATACCCCAAAATTCTGTGATTCCATTTGATTCATCATGTTTCCCATTGTCGAATGATAGTGGCCTTTCCAGGGTCCCCCAACCCATGGTATCTGCATCAAAGGCCGCCCGGTTCTTGTTCCCGGTCCGGTAACAACACCAAGACTGGACACACATCCAAAGAATCCAAAGGTGCTCACAATCTTTGTTCATCTTCTATGCTGATTCAATCTGATTCAGTTGCTGCGGCTGTTTCACAAAAACATGCAAAAACCTTCCACGCCATTTACTTTTTGTTGCACCTTCCGCCGATCAAATGATGACTTGCACATCACAGAAAGCCAAAGGGCTGAAACATGCGATTCCCAAACATGGAGACCAAAAAACAACATCCATTCAAATTACGAGGATCAACAAATGCTAAATATCAACTACAAATGGATGAACAAAGCCATGTTCCAGGACGTTCTATTGCTAGGTCCGTTCTGGAGGGTATTGAGCAGGGAGAGCGTTTTGCTCGTGAGACTTTGCTTGTCAGGATGGCAGCTAATCATCGTCTGCTGAAAGGTCCACCAAATCCTCTTTCTCATAGGCAAACCTCAAGGGTCAACAAGCGCAGGATCAAACAACGCATCTTGGCTCTGCTGTTGAAAATCCTATCTCAAGCATAGGAAAAACTTCACGACCTTTCCAGTGAAAATGGGAATGTAAGCTCCCTCATTCTCCCGTTAATCTTAGATTGGCATTCTTCGGCTCGAGGGCGTACTATTTAATACCATTTGCACATGGCGCCAATTATCCATTGCCAAGGATCCATAAGAGACCGTCCGGGCGGGTCTCCGTCTCATGTCGGAAGAACCCACAGGAACAAACGCGGATGCCAATGCTGCGGCTGATAAAACCTCGGCTCAGTTCTGTGGGGGACGTACTTTGCAAACTGCACAAAAAGAGTTGGTTTTGTAGGGTGGTATTTTCCTCAATTAGTGGCTAAAAATGAAGCCATTCTAACACCGAACCTAAGTTTATTTTGTTGAGATACAGCTGTTGCAGTAGATTGAGTGCGCTTCAATTCTGGTTTCCTAATGCACAATACGCTGCTGAATGAGAATCAGGACACAACTTTGTCACAGAATCAAAGTCTGGGCCAGGAAATAAGGACAATTCACCACCACCACCACCACCATCTGCAGCAGTTCTGGGAAAGTAGATGCATGGATGCTTAGGGCTGGCGTGCCCAAACTGTTTTTTGGGAAGATTCTCGAACCCATTCTGTCCGAGAGACTCCAGAAAAACAAATGTATCTGTATAAACGTATCTATGCATGCATGCATGTACGTATGTGCGTATCTATGTAGGTGCGTAGATTACACTTCCACAGCATCAGCCGACCTCTCTGCTGCGTCCAGGAGGCGGTAGGAGGTCGAGGCCAAGTAGTGGTTGTAGAGTCGGTTCTTCTTTTGGACAGCCTTCGAATATAGTTCCCCCAGCAAACCAATGTAAACCTGGCAGGGTAATGACCAGACTGGTTGGTGAGATCATCGTCACCTGGGTCCTATCGGTGTCATCTCGAAGCATCATGACTTTTTCGGAAGCTTCAGTGCTCTCTGGCAGCTATCCAAATACTACAATATATATATATACATATATATACCTGGAGCTTCAAAAGTACACTAATTTCTGCTCGAGCAAATTTCTGCTCGAGGAACCCAAATCTGCTCGTTTTATCAATTTCTGCTCGAGGTACAGCTCGATTTGAAAACAACCACTTTTCAAATGTGCGCTCGTTTGCGGGAAATTGCGCTCGATTGCGGGAAATTGCGCTCGTTGTGCGGCCTGTTTTTTTTGAATCAGAGACAGGCAGTGAAAACTCAAGAAGTGCTCGTTTGGCAAATTTCTGCTCGTGATGGAAAAATGCGCTCGATTTGCCCAAAACATATACGAACAAGAAAACAACCAGAAATTAATGCTCGTTTGAAGATCAAGGTATATATGTCTGTGTCCAATTTTACATATAATGTACATATATAAATATATAGTTATTTTATATATATATATATATAATTATAACCATAACTATATATATATAATTATATGCGTATAATTACAGTATATATATATATAACCATGATCGCCTACTTAGAATATGCCCGATTTCAACCCTACGGGTGTGGACGCAAAAAAAAACTTAGAATATTTGGGGTAGAAATATTTGGGGTAGAATTTTGGAGTGCATAAACAGTGCCAAAGCAAATACCATAGGAATAACGATATTCCCATATCGAAAACATGTGTGAAACCCAGCAGATTGAACATTTTTTGGGTTCTGGGTAATTTTTTTTCATAGTTCTACGAGACCAGTCGTGGGGGGTACCCTTCGGTGAGCCTGAAAAACTCATGTTTTTAATGCAATATAAAAAGAAACTGGTCATTTCGGGTGACCTGTTTTTTTGTTGAAATGTTGTCGTTTAGGAACTTCAGACATCCAGGGTTGCTACTTGCCAAAGGGAATTACGGATATGATATATACTCTTATACATGAAAGAGACCCAATTCCTTGCAGAACTACATACATAGAATATACGTCCCCAGTGAAAATATTCATCAATTTTTTGAGGATCACCACCGAATTCCATTGGTTTTCATTGCAAAATAGTTTTTTTTTTCATAGTTCTACGACACCAGTCGTGGGGGGTACCCTTCGGTGAGCCTGAAAAACTCATTTTTTAAATACAATATAAAAAGAAATTGGTCATTTCGGGTGACCTGTTTGTTTGTTGAAACGTTGTAGTTTAGGAACTTCAGATATCCAGGGTTGCTACTCCCCAAAGGGAATTACGTATATAATGTATACTCTTATACATGAAAGAGACCCAATTCCTTGCAGAACTACATACATAGAATATAGGTCCCAAGTGAAAATATTCATCAATTTTTTGAGGAACACCACCCAATTCCATTGGTTTTCATTGCAAAATAGTTTCTTTTTCATAGTTCTACGACACCAGTGGTGGGGGGTACCCTTCGGTGAGCCTGAAAAACTCATTTTTTTAATACAATATAAAAAGAAATTGGTCATTTCGGGTGACCTGTTTGTTTGTTGAAACGTTGTAGTTTAGGAACTTCAGACATCCAGGGTTGCTACTCTCCAAAGGGAATTACATAAATGATATATACTCTTATACATGAAAGAGACCCAATTCCTTGCAGAACTACATACATAGAATATACGTCCCCAGTGAAAATATTCATCAATTTTTTGAGGATCACCACCCAATTCCATTGGTTTTCATTGCAAAATAGTTTTTTTTTTCATAGTTCTACGACACCAGTCGTGGGGGGTGCCCTTCGGTGAGCCTGAAAAACTCATGTTTTTTATACAATATAAAAAGACATAGGTCATTTCGGGTGACCTGTTTGTTTGTTGAAACGTTGTAGTTTAGGAACTTCAGACATCCAGGGTTGCTACTCCCCAAAGGGAATTATGTATATAATGTATACCCTTATAAGGCCTTTATACATGAAAGAGACCCAATTCCTTGCAGAACTACATACATAGAATATAGGTCCCAAGTGAAAATATTCATCAATTTTTTGAGGATCACCACCGAATTCCATTGGCTTTCATTGCAAAATAGTGTTTTTTTTCATAGTTCTACGACACCAGTCGTGGGGGGTACCCTTCGGTGAGCCTAAAAAACTATTTTTTTTAATACAATATAAAAAGAAACTTGTCATTTCGGGGGACCTGTTTTTTTGTTGAAACGTTGTAGTTTAGGAACTTCGGACATCCAGGGTTGCTACTTGCCAAAGGGAATTACGGATATGATATATACCCTTATACATGAAAGAAACCCAATTCCTTGCAGAACTACATACATAGAATATAGGTCCCCAGTGAACATATGAATCATTTTTTTGAGGATCACCACCGAATTCCATTGGCTTTCATTGCAAAATAGTTTTTTTTCCATAGTTCTACGACACCAGTCGTGGGGGGTACCCTTCGGTGAGCCTGAAAAACTCATTTTTTAAATACAATATAAAAAGAAATTTGTCATTTCGGGTGACCTGTTTTTTTGTTGAAACGTTGTAGTTTAGGAACTTCAGATATCCAGGGTTGCTACTCCCCAAAGGGAATTACATAAATGATATATACTCTTATACATGAAAGAGACCCAATTCCTTGCAGAACTACATACATAGAATATACGTCCCCAGTGAAAATATTCATCAATTTTTTGAGGATCACCACCCAATTCCATTGGTTTTCATTGCAAAATAGTTTTTTTTTCATAGTTCTACGACACTAGTCGTGGGGGGTACCCTTCGGTGAGCCTGAAAAACTCATTTTTTTAATACAATATAAAAAGAAATAGGTCATTTCGGGTGACCTGTTTGTTTGTTGAAACGTTGTAGTTTAGGAACTTCAGACATCCAGGGTTGCTACTTGCCAAAGGGAATTACATATATGATATATACCCTTATACATGAAAGAAACCCAATTCCTTGCAGAACTACATACATAGAATATAGGTCCCCAGTGAACATATACTTGAATCACGGGCGGCTGCAGAAATCCAGCAAAACCTGAGGAAAAAAAAATTCCCGGATCAAAATAGATAGCCGGAAATATTCTATGTATAGGTTTTTTTTTTCGATTCCGGAAGATGCTTTTATTCTATGTATAGGTTTTTTTTACCGATTCCGGAAGATGCTTCTGGAGGCCGAAATTATCGATTCTGTATTCTATGTCTGCCATCTACGTTATATATATATATACATAAGTATATAATTACTATACTATACTATTGTATATCTGCACCATTTCAGGAGATATGTGACGTTGAACCCCAAAACCACCAAACAAATAAGATCAAATAAGTAAATCCACCATTGCCAACTTACCACTAGGATCAATAGAAACCATACCATAATAACATATTCTTCCGTAAAGAAAGCATTTCAGAACCCCCCCCTTTGCGTACCACCAGGGCGTCAACCCAGCAACATTCATGGCAACCACGGTCACCAGCAGGGTGAGCACTAGAAATTCCATACGCAGCCAGTGATGGATGGCGCTATGTCTCTCTTCCTCGACCTGGGTACGAAAATGAAGGTACGGTAGTAGCATATAAAACCATTGAAATGGCCAACCAGTGCAGATGCAACGCATAAATCACAAGAATCAAAATGACAATAAGATATTAAGTTGCGAATAATAGCACATGAAAATAAGCAATCAGATGCAATGAGTAACAAAAATCACGGTGATTAAATGTACTTATATTTCCGGATTTTAAAGGAACGCGCACCATGGAAAATTATGTTGCGTAATGTTGGCTTACGATTTATCAATGCACCCTAAATAAAGCTAACCAAACTCCCAAAATAAATGACAAATGACCCCTAAATAAAGCTAAACTTCTTTGGCCCTAATTTTTTTTGGGGGCTTATCCTATATGTTGCTCTTTCTATTCAAAACCTTTATTCAAAAATGATAGCTGTAAATTTTCAAAATGATGGATGCTCTTTCTATTCAAAACCTTTATTCAAAATTATCCAAAATCAACTCCAACTCAACTCAACAAGGGTACCCCCCATGAGGTGCCTTAGCACCAATTAGAGTTTGACCCTGAATAAAGCTACTGAGCTTCCCCCTCCCGCTGATCAAGAAATGAATACTAAATCAATACTAAATCAATACTAAATCCATGAAATGAATACTCAATCAATACTAAATCCATGAAATGAAATTAAATCAATACTAAAACAATTGTTGGATTCCTTTTTTCTTGGAAATTGCATTTCATATTATCGTTTTAAATTGTGGTAATTGAAAACCAATATATACATACAAACCAGTTTGATGGTGGCTTTAAGTTTATTTAGGGGGAAAGAGGGGGGGCCCACGTTTATAAATCAGAGGTGAACATTATATGTCAAAAAGTAAACCATATGCAGCAATATGCGCGTGAAATAAAATATGCAACATTGTAAGCAAAAATTAGCAAAATAGATCAACAAATTATCCACAATTCAGCGTCAACACAGGTCCGCGAGCAAAATCCGAAGAACGATAACCAGAAGAAGAAGAAGAAGGGTACCAAAAAAGAAGGGTGCGATAATGACGATATATATCATAAATATATATATATTAATATATATAGTATGCATTGCGTTCGAGAAAAAAAGAAATGCTAGTGGAGATCCAAACCAAGATAGGGTGTTCACAAACCAGCACAGTGATTAATTATGAATTATTATGGTCAACAATCATGTGGACATCAAGCTACAAAAAAATGTAGGGATATGGCAAACTGAGAAAATCACTAACAGTAACATGCACGAGAAAAAGGGTGGATGCAAGCAACAAGGGAAGGGGTATACCATAACAAGTCAGCATAACCAACCACATGAATGCATTAATTACAGTTGATGGGTGCGCGGATGGTCTTGCCACATTTACATACATACAGCATACATTTATACCCTCTGGTGCTTTGTTACATGGCTATGCAAAATCACCGTTTTTGATAGGTAACAACATTGAATTAAATTGGCAATTCTTCATAAATCTTCATAATATGTCATTACCAGAGGGTACCAAAGCATCGAGCTCTGTCAAAGCCTTCTTGGCCAAGAAACCTCTGCTTGAACTCTTCCTTTGGTGATGTTCCCTTCAATCTCCTGTGCAACGCTGCAACGCCGTCAGGGCGGGCCCTGAACAGATTGCGGGGGTCCAACCCGACCCCAGTAATATGATGGAAGATGGCGCTGCAAACTAAGAGTTAATCATCTTCCCTATTCAAACTGCCTTTTTTGATGGCATTACCAATTTTCAATCAGAGGCAAAACACTATTTGAACCGACCAGCTCGACAGTCTGAAAATTCCATTCCAGGGGTCGGAAAGCAAAAGACAGATGGTTCAAATTATTTGAAGCACCATCTGGTCTCTCCCATCAACTACAGTTAGAAACTAATGGGCTTGTTGCGGTTTCAGCTCCTCTGCGTTGTGGGTGGTTCAGGGCAACACCAAATGAGTGTGACAGGGAAAGTCTTCCCACCATCGAGCACTTCCCTTCCACCAAGATAGGCGTGTCTCATTTTGTTTCTGCGCCCTCCATCTCATGGTTTGGAAAAGTGTTCTCCCCAACCAATTGCAATATTGAAAAAATACCCAAAAAGATCGAAAAATAAAATCTTACCAAAGTAGTGACAAATAACTTGTCAGCCTTTTTGATGAATTTTGGGACTTACGAATATTGACACACCAAGTGCAGATCTCTCTCTGCATTCCTGCCTCGCCCAAGCCTTCCAGCTCGGAAAGATCGAAATCTCCCAAGACTTCCAAGCGAAAGATCTTCAGGAAGGCATTGAACTGGTGACTGAAATTTCCTGGGCATTTCGCAAGTTCTGCGCTTTCTTGAACCATTTTTGAGCCCGAATTTTGAATAATTTTGGGAGGAGAATTGAGGTGAAAACATGTTAAAGAAAAAGAGACTGGGGGCAGGTGCGCCAAGTCCATTCTTGAGTATGACAATTGTGCGATATGACTGTGCCACTGGAGTTCGACACCAACGCCTACCAGCATTGGATATATATTCAAAAGCACCCTGATGTTTCTTTCGCCATGGGAACATCACGAGCTAGGCATTTTGTTAACCCACTGGGAAGCAGGAAAAATCTAATTTTCCGCTAAATCATTTAGTGCTATTTAGCAAAGTCCAGAGCAGGTTGCTGAATCGATGCAGTTCCAGCCTAGTTTGGCCAGAAACCCCCCCAGGATCGTCTCATGAGCCCAGAGTGGTCTAGAAGGGTGAATTCTTGCGCAGTAGCATGTTATAATACTGTATATATAGATATGTGATATGTGATATGTGTGTGTGTGTGGACGCGCGTGTGTGTGTGTGTGCGTGTGCGCGCGCGAATATGGAAATGTGTGTGTATCATACATATATACATAATATCTCTGTGTGTGTGTGTCTGTGCGTGTGTCATATATCTCCAATTACACAAATGTTGTTTGTACATGTTTGTACATCCATGATTTAAACCCCAGTTAATCCCTAGTTGTTTGTCTGGACAGCTGCATGCCTGCGTAATTAGGAGGGTAGCCCTCCCTCGCTTACTGTTTAATTTTCCAAAACTATGACTGTATTGCAGAGGTCATACCGAGTCATACCGCTGGCTCTCCCTTGGCTCAACATGGCTCAACCACGCTTCCGAAATTTTCGCTGATGGGGAACACCGAGTAGGCATGAAAAGAGCCACACCTGAGAATCTGCAGAAAGCAGCTGGCCATGACATACAGCTGCCGCATCCGCATCCAACTTATCTCACCAGATATCACCGATAGGATGCCCTGACTCACATGGAGAAACACATATAGACATCGCATCTCCATGGCGACTTCTCATGATTCAAATTGGGAACATCCTCTATAACTGGGCGATTTTCCATTGCCATGTTACTATGTTTGATTACCGGAGGGTATGTTGACCATGTTGACCCACTCCTAGGTTAACGACAAGCCACACAACAATGGCCAAGAACACCAGGAAGTTGATAGAAGCCGGTCGTGTCACGGCATAAAAAACCGGCACAATGTTGCGACCGATGCCCTCCACCTGCAACAGACTCACCTGGGGCAGAACTCACAGGGCGACTTTTTCCCGGAATTTGTGTCGGCCATCTATGAGTAAGGGGTATTGTCCATTGAATGTCAATCAACTCCCCCTCCCAATCCCTCCCAACTTATATATATATATGTATATATTATATATATATATATAAATATGGTATTCCATCAGCCCATTTTTGACTAAGACCTCACACAGAGACATGACTCCCTCAGTTCAGCATCGCTGTGCGAGTGGCTCCCACTTGAGTCCAACGTACCAAGACCAAGCACGAAAGGAACGCGGGATGCTGCGTGAAGAGTTCCCAGGAATGAGACATGTTGTCGTCGCTGCAGGCATAGAGGACAAAGCGCCAGCCAACAAAAGTTGAAAAGGCTTCCTAGGCGATTGGATCAAAAGTGATCAAACACATCCCCAAGCTGGTCCCTCCTTAGGTTCTAGACTCTGGCAAGGCAACTTCCCCCAGGTTGTGGATGCCAACGAAGGGAACTAGGAAAAGCATGGCTTTTGATCTTCGCGAAACTGTCAAAGAGAAAATCACATTCCAGAGGTTGACGTGCTTCAGCACGCCCACGGCAAAACCGCTGCAGTTGGCGCTGAAGAGGTACATGCCACCGAACAGCTTCAAGATCAAAGAGCCTGCAATGATGAGGCTTAAGGCAGCAAAGAGCACCAAGATCCATGTCTGGGGTGTTTGTGAAGCTTCCATGCACCAAGCCATCTTCACCAAAACCAAGATATACACTATATCCACCGTGGTATCCAGGAGATGCCCGCGCGCTGTTCCTGGGCCAAGGGCAGCGCCACCCCAGTTGCCACCCGCGCGATGTTTGATGTTTAAGATATGAGTTGCCTGCTGAAATCTCAAATATTATCAAATCAATCAAAGGAACCAAAGGAATCAAAGATTGCAAGTTTATCATTTGTCATCATTTGTCGGACTGTCGCAGTTTAATTTCCATCCGTTTTCCTGTCGGGATGGTCTGCATATTTCGATGATTGATGTGATGCTTACCGCAAGGCCAATAAATTTTCCTGAGCTTTCCATGGTTCCATGTAGCTTTGCTACTGAGGGTTTTTGTGTCTGCCCATGTACTCTGAGTAAGATGCTTTATGAAAAATAGTGCGGCAACAATCTCATTGGGTCAGCGCAAAAGGCAAATTGTAGCGCTTTTCAGCATCCATTTAGATCTCCTGAACGTGTATATAGGTGGTTTACAGTCATCAATGCTAATTCAAGTTTCCCTTGGAATGATTATGGCACCCAGAGGAAACGCTGCGCATAATTTATATAATAAGTCATATACATGTGCATAAACTGTGTAAGCTTCAGGAATTCTTCAGATGGGCGTCCAAGAATTGCAAGACTTGCAATTATACTTTCAAAAAGTCATGCCAGCGACTAAATACTTTTACCAAACAAGCTCAAATCCCATGGCTAATCATAATCTTTCCCATTAAACTGGGTAAACTAACATAGCTATGGAATTTTATAGGTAAATCAACTATAAATGGCAATTTTCATTCAATAGCCACAGCCAGATCTCTCCCCGCTTCCCAGCTTCGCCGGGCAGTCTCAGCGAGGATGGCCCGGCCGATGACTGTGTTGAAACATTTGCTTTCTTGCCCTGCATCCACCAGCACCTGTGGCCACATTGACTGACCACGTTTTGTTTCGAAAATTCTGGAGATGGGATTTCGTCCCAAATATATATATATATATCTTGAGACATAGCCTCCCCCAGATTTTAACACAAAAGCCTGGAAAATATCCGGGTTTGATGAAAATGAATCTTCCAAGCGCCTATTTGGCAGGGCCTACTTGGAGGGATGGTAGGAAATTTATGATATAAATGATAAACATTATTGCGCAGATGCATGTATATATAATACATAAATACATATATACATACCATACTATGTTATATTCTATTATGTTACATTACATTACATTATATCATTATAACAATATTATATAATATTACATAATCTATCTAATATTATATAATACTAAATAGTATTATATAATACTATATAATATTATATAACTACCATCAAAGTTGGGGGCACGACGCATTTTCAGACCCATCGACCCAAATTTTCGCTTGAGATCGGTGAGCGCCAACCTGATGGGATGTCCCTTGTTACCCGTGGCCACCGTGCACCTTCAACATCAAAGCCACTGTTGCATTGGACTCATCGAAGAGTTTGATGCAAGGAGAGATGCCTGCGAAGGCGAAGCATGCGAAGCCAATGTTGGTCAAAATGTGACAAAATGTTGGGCCCTTGTTCAATTTGATTTTTTGATACTGATTGCAAGTAAACTCAAAATATGCCCAAATCCAGAGGCTTGGGGTCTTTCACGGCCTCTCCAGACGGATCTGTTCTACCCTCCTCTCTTGATGTGGTTAAGCAACCAACAAATCTCCAATTTTGAAGTTTACACTACGCGGCTACGCGTCTCTGGTGAAATTGAGGATGCTTCAAGGGTTTATCATTGGGGTTTACCATTCTCAAAACTCATCTGGATCTTCATTTGTTGACCTCCCAGGGTGCCAATTTTGGTGGCAAGCACGTCTGAAACAGCTAAGGTGCTGAAGGTGGGTCGGGAACAAGCTTTGTCCGAACAAAAAGCCTGGCATTTTCAGGGGCCGTCGCTCGGCCGCCGCTCGGCCGGTCAAAACTTTTGACCCTTGCAGGTGGTGGCAAACCCCCCATACCACATCCATTGTGATTTTTTGGGAAGGCCTGCTGGAAATGTTGACGTTTTTTCAAGATCAGCTCTGTTGGGTGCCGATGGCAGGGTTTGACAACACGTCTATCCATGTCTTCACTGGACAAAATTCGATGACTTTACCCAGAGATCAATGACCTCCTTTTGCATTTCCTTGGCACATCATCTACAACATGCGGAACATGCGGATCATCCGGATGACCAATCCATGCTATTTGCTGGCTTACAGCCTCTATATGATTCTATGCCTGCACAGTGGGCATCTAATGATTCGAGTGGCCACGTATACAACTCCAAAAATGCATGTGCATATGCAAAATTGACGATCTACCTACACACTGATAGTTGCATCATGTTAAAAAAAAATGTTTATCTTTGTTTGTCTTTGCTTACTCTTCTTGGGACCCATGAAATCCATGAATTCCCCATGGTTTTTCGGTGTAACCGGGCCTTCTGCACCACCAACCTGCCAAAGTCGCTGCAGATTCGACCAGCCGTCTGATGTGAATTGCGCGATGCGAATTTGTTGGTGCTGATGTGGTCCATGCAAATATCCAGGTCAGTCTGGCTCAAAGGGCTCCTGGGCTAAAGCCTAATATGTCTAATTAGTAATAGTAATTCAAGGGTACTATATCCATTCAAGAAAGTACCATGATTTCCAAACTCTATATTCCAGTAGTACCGCACAAGGCGGTGGCGGAAATTTCAAAAAAAGGAAACCTATAGGAGAGGTTGGTTGTTGTGAATCACGGGTAGCAGAGCGAAGCCACTGATGGACCGAAAGGTGGTTGAGGTCTCCTCTCTTTCTCTCTCTTTCTCTCTCTTTCTCTCTCTTTCTCTCTCTTTCTCTCCGCTCTCTCCTCTCATCTCTCTCCTCTCTCCCTAAATCTTTCTCTCTCTTTCTCTCTCTTTCTCTCTCTTTCTCTCTCTTTCTCTCTCTTTCTCTCTCCTTCTCTGACTATCTACCTACCTATCTACCTACCTACCTGCCTACCTACCTATCTGTCTATCTATCTATGTATCTATCTATCTTTCTTTCTTTCTATCTACCTATCTATCTATCTATCCATCCATCTATCCATCTATCCATCTATCCATCTATCCATCTATACATCTATCCATCTATCCATCTGTCCAGCTGTCTATCTGTCTGTCTATCTGTCTATCTGTCTATCTGTCTATCTGTCTATCGATCTATCTATCTATCTATCTAACTGATCTATCTATCTATCTATCTATCTATCTATCTATCTATCTATCTATCTATTTACCTACTATATATCTATATATCTATCTATCTATCTATCTATCTATCGATCTATCTGTCTATCTATCTTATCTTATCCTATCCTATCCTATCCTATCCTTTCCTTTCCTATCCTATCCTATCCTATCCATCCATCTATCTATCTATCTATCTTATCTATCTTATCTATCTTGTCTATCTTATCTATCTTATCGATCTTATTTATCTGACCTATCTTATCTATCTTATCTATCTTATCTATCTTATCTATCTTATCTATCTTATCTATCTTATCTTATCTATCTATCTATCTTATCTAATCTATCTTTCTAGCAAAATCTTTCCCATATTCCAAGGCTGTTCATATTCCATGCCAAAATAGCTCCGGAAGTTTGGAAAATAATGAACGACCTTTGATGGTGAGAATTTGGTTGTGTGACCCTTGTCAGGCCCACCTTTTCCCTTGTCACGTGCTGTCATGTCCAATCGCACATGTTTAACCCTGCTAAAATCCTTTGAGTCCACAGCTTCTCAAGCAATGATTTCTTGAATAAACATAAAGTCTTGTTTCTCTCATCAATCAGCAACTTCTCTCTAGGATCTTTTAAGACCATTGGATAAGCTGTTCAGCTTATTTTTTTGACGCGTTTGGCTGGCGGTTCAGCTTCCAAATCCGTAAACTGGGCCAAGTCTGGATTACGCTGTTCTTCCTCGAACCCAAATGGTATCATATTTCCACTTAATACAGTTACAGTAGGATGCCACCCCTGGAGTACGATGCCCCCCTGGTATGCGTTGCCAGTCCTGCATGTGGGATTCTCAAGCATATGTTGACATCTTTTTTGATCAAATTGGGGTCACAAATTCCATTCCATATACCCACAAAGCATCACACTCCATCCTGCACGACTAACATCACAACCGAGGATTTCCATAGCCTCCACAGGTCTAAAGTATCAAAATTTGATGGAATACGATTGTACGCGCGACTCTTCAAAACGCTGGAAAACAACGATTTCCCCCATATTCCATATTATCATATTCCAGAGCATTTTACCTCCGAAGAGAAAAAAAAAACTCTTCAGGTTCATTTTAAAAAAATGGTTTTTGGCTGCATGCGTCGGTTTTTCTGGTATACGATGCCTTTAGTGGAGTACGAAGATCTGTGAGTATGTATGTGGAGTGCGATGGGGTCCTCTGGGGTGTGATGACACCCCTCGGGTGCGATGCCACATGAGTATGCGCGGCCGGAAATCCCCTGAGAGAAGGATTCTGGGCCACAATTCCCCAAATTCAACAGAGCTGATGCTGGTTGTGGTAATTTAACAGGTTTTCAGCCCATTCAACAAACAAGTCAAACAATATTTTGAAACCCTTTCCTTCTTCAGTCTCCAAAATGGGAAACTCACTTATCAGGGTACGCTTTAGCTCATCCAGGCTCCATAGAATTTCAGGAACAACACAAGGCATCGACATGGTGCCAAACAATTTCCAAATTGAGCTGAAAGGTCTTCCCACCGCAACCAATCAATTCACAGGTGTGAAACATGTCACACACAGGGAAACAGGTTGGGAAAACAATGGGTCCAAAGAGACAGGTCTGGAGTACGATGGATTCATGGTATAGGTATTTTTTGTGAATTTGGGTAACTTGGAGCTACAATCTTATCTATCTTATCTATCTTAACTATCTTATCTACCTTATCTATCTTATCTATCTATCTATCTATCTATCGATCTATCTATCTATCTATCGATCTATCCATCCATCCATCCATCCATCCATCTATCTATCTTATCTATCTTATCTATCTTGTCCTTCTTATCTATCTTGTCTATCTTATCTATCTTATCTATCGTATCTATCTTATCTATCTTTTCTATCTTATCTATCGTATCTATCTTATCTATCTTTTCTATCTTATCTATCGTATCTATCTTATCTACCTTTTCTATCTTATCTATCTTCTCTATCCTCTCTATCTTCTCTATCTTACACTAACCTAAAAGTAGATGGCTCAACTCAAAAACCAAAATACCCATAAGATGGCACCGCGCGCTGAGAAAGAAAACGGCGCTATTTTAGCTGGAACATAAAACGAGTTCCGCCAATTGAAGAAAAAAAATCGCCCTACTTAAAAATGAGAAGGTAGATGGCGAACTGCCACTCCAGTATATGGACAAAAAGACATAAGGGTATTGTGAACTAAGTTTACTACATTTCCGATCATTTTTGCTTGTTTGTACTGTAGATTACACACGTCTGTATTGTAAATATATTATATACATATATATATATATATAATTCCCCTAGATTTTTTATCCTAAAAATGAGTTGCGCCATCTATGTCCCTTAAATCCCATTCAAACGCCAGAAATTTGTTTTTCGATGGGTTCAAAAATGAGTTGAGCCATCTATGTCCCTTAAATCGCATTCAAATTTTCAAAAAAATCATTGCAATACCTTGAACATGAGTTGCGCCATCTACGTCCCTTAAATCTCATCGGTGGGTTAAAAAATGAGTTGCGCCATCTATGTCCCTTAAATCGCATTCAATGTTTTAAATTTTCATTGCAATACCTTGACAATGAACCACTGAATGTTTTAAAACTGATTGTGGGCAGAATTTATGGATACAATCTCATTTTTCAACATATTTTGACAAAAATATTTATTAAAAAAATATACAGTAAAAATTCATTGCGATACCTTGAAAATGATCCACTGAATGTTCTAACATTGGTTGTGGACAGAATTTTGGATAGAAATAATTTTTTAAAAAATATGCACAATTTTAACATTTCAATATGTTACAAAGCAGCTTTTCTGGTTTACAAACTATAAAAGTGACATTTTTCATTTTGCTCTTTCTTTTTGTTCCCCCCTTTCTTTCTTTCTCCCCTTTGTCTCCCTTATGTCTCCCCGTTGTGTCTCCCCGTGGAGTCTCCCCGGGGCGGTGATCCCAATGCAGCGAGTCGGGGTGAGCGTTTCGCGCCTACGCGCGCGCGCGTTGGTGGAAAACGAAAGCGAGCAGCGTTTTCACCGGGGTGGTTTATGAACCCATCAGAGCTATCCCAAGACAGGAGGCAGTTGCGCCATCTATGTGGGCATTCCCAGCCTGATTTTGGCGAATCAGTGGGAGTTGCGCCATCTATGTCCCAAAAAGGCAGCTTGATGTGCTAAATTTCAAAAGTCATGTTTTTTTAGTGGAAGTTCAATTTAAAAAAGCGTCCTTATTTTTTTTTGGATGTGTGCTAGGCAACTTGTGTTTGGGATGCATTGCCTCAGATCGAAAAGTGATTCAGGCAATTCAGACTTGAATCATCAGCTTGGCTATTCCATCCACGGACTGCGTTTTCTCCCAAAAGATAAAGCACTAGATTGCCATGGGCAAGCCCAAGACAGTTGACTGCTGTACCAAATGCTGCATTGCTCTACTGGCGATCTCCAACCACACTGATCATTGTGAACATGTGGGACCTTGGCAAGTGAGTTATGCCAAAGGAGGCCATTATAAACAGAATCAACTAAACAAGCTTATCTATGGTGAAAACACGCACCTTGAAAACAGTCAATTCAGGACTTTGGCGCTGTTGTTCGGTCCATGGTGGCAGTTCCTAATTGTCAATACAAGTTCTGCATTGCTGCAAGTTGATTTTTTTTCCTTGCTTTATTGCACAGTGCAAAGCGTATAAGTATAGCTACAGCAATGTAAACCTTACAAGAAATATCCGGAGTTGGTCTATGCAGTTTCTCGTAACATGGATCAGAATCACGGGATGCTGGAACTGCGGTGATTCTGACCACTGTTTTGCCAAAGAGTTGGCTTGGACGTTAAAAGATAGACATAGGAAACCAAAGAGCACAAACAATGAAATTGTTTTGAACAAAAATAACCGTAGAACCAACCAACATATCAACATAGGATGAAAAATCTAAGAGATGTATGAAACAGTAACGAAAGTTTCTTTCAAAAGAAGCAGGGCTGCGAACAATACAATGCTAAATCATGGGAAAACACCAGTGTCACTGCTTGAAAAAAGTTCTAGTGGCAAAGAAAATAAATCTAAACAGTCATTCATTCTGTTGAAACTGCCCGGCGAAACAAGTGGAGTTTCTAAAATAATTGTCTAACCCGGGGAAATTTGTCAGACGAGTAAGAGCTCCGACGAACCAAAAAGGTGAAGTTGTTTCAACAAAGAACTCTACAACAAAAATTGCACGGTTAGTCTGAACCAAATTTGAAGCTCCAAGAAAAGGAACCTAAGAAACGAATAACGCGAATGGATTGAAGGAACTTAGGGTTGCTTAGGGTTGTAAACTTGTATACATA